TATGCTCCCGAGTTTGCAAAGCAAGCTGGCATCGCCGAAGAAAAGAGACTCACAAACCACACGATCGCTGTATGACCTCTGCGGAAGCTCTGACCTCGGCATTGTGGAAGAGACGAGCGAGGGCGACGCAAAATGTTCGAGGGTACTCTGCCCCTCTCTTGGTCTTGAAACCTCCTGAGGGCAAAAAACCTTGCAGCTGCTCGTGAGCACGACCCGTACGAGAGCAAATGCCGCGCCTGGATCCTATGCACCGCGACTCACGGAACGGCCCCGGGTCAAGGTCCCCGAGGAGAAGGCCAGTATCCACTTTCCAAGCAGCACCCCACTGGCACATGGAGGTGACGTGGAAAGAGACAGCGCGGCGCCGCGTCAGGGCTTTGTAGCGTGGGAAGAGCCACAGCCGAGAAGTCTTAGGGTTCTCGATACTCCAGGGCACACGTAACGAAAGTGAAACACCAGCGAGATTGGCATCAAACCTGTTGAGGATGTTGGATACATCGACAATCGCTTGCAAATGAGGAGGGAGGTTCGGGAGGCCAAAGAGGTGGAGATCGGATCGTACAGGCGGCGCCCCGACCCCATGATCGCGGCACCTGGTCAGCGTGTTGCAAGGTACACCCGCATGCCAACCCCTGATTCGACCAGCACGGACCCATGACAAAAGCAACGAGCGATTACACGGTCGGGCGAAATCGTATCTCTCGCATAAAGTAGTGTCCCACATCAAAACTGGGATGCCCAGCTGAGCGACCGCCTTCGAGAATCCTGCTGAGCCAGAGAACAACTCTAAGATCACTGGCGGGTCGGGCAAACTGGCACCAACGCTGAAGGCAGGCCGTGCGACGCACGGCTCAGCAAGCGCGCGCAGGCCTCCGCGTGCTCTCGCTGCGGCCCTCCTAATGTGTGCAGCTGCTCGGTCAGGCGGCCTCCTTTTTCGCACCTGCGGACTGAGCTCCAGCTCTTCCAGCGCCCACGCCGCCTGATCTGCTCCAAGTCGCGCAGCCCTGCTGCGTAGTCGTGGCTTGGGCCTGAGTGGCGGAGCTGGTAGACGTGGCAGGCACGCAGCTTCCGGAGGCCGAGGGCGGTGACAGCCCCACGCCATGCGTTGGCCACACTGCGCTGGTCGACTGCAAAAAGCGGCGCCCAGGGCGGCGCTCCCGCGCGGCGCCGCGCGGCGGCCATCGCCAGCAGTCCCGCAGCCAGGCCTGCCTGGCGCTCGAGGTCGAGACGGATCGCCGCGTCGAACTCTCCCGTCTTCGAGACGTCGCCGACCTCCTGCGCGTGGAGCGTCACCGAGGTGTAGCGGTGAGCCCCTGACGCGGAAGGCGCCGGCGGCACCGCATCCTGGGCGGCCGTAGATCTCGAAGAGGAGCCAGATCGCGAGCGCCTCCGGGGTGCCGCGCTGATGGGACACGTAGTTGACCACCATGGCGACGACCTCGTACGGAAGGGCCATGCGGCTGCGAGCTGGGGCCAGGTTGCGCCACCCCTTGGCGGCTTGCTTGGACAGCGGCAGCTCGAACTGGCCCGTTCTGGCATAGCGCGGATCGCGCCACGCCACCGCCGCTATCATACGGTTGGCGTAGGTATGGTGATACCCCCGCTCGAAGAGATGGCCGATGTAGTCGCGGACCGCTCGGTCCATCTGAGCAGGCTCCTGCGTAGCCCGTCGATGCTGTCTCGTCCAGTTGTCGAAACCCACCAGCATCGAGAGGTAAGCCTGACGCCCCGACGCCGTGCGCACGGATGCCGCGTTGAGCACTGGCATGCCCGCTGGCGGCTGGATCAGCCGAGCCCGCTGCTGCGGCGTGGGACCACCGCTCGAGCCCTGGCGGCTCGCGGGCGATGCCTGGAGCACTGGCAGCGTCGGCGACTGCAAGCCAGCCTTGCGCGCCCCACGGACCAGGGAAGCTCCCGCTGGCGGCAAGCTCGCGGCCGCGGCTGGTCGCTTGCGAGCGCCCCCCTGCAACGGCCCCGCGGACATGGCAGGAAGAGTGCTGACGAGGGCGACGAGGCAGACAGCCGACAACATATGGAATAATACGTAGAGGTCTTGGGCCAGTCAGCGGCTCAGAGCGAAGCGGACCATGAGCACCCAAGACGTCCTCCAGCGAGGCCACTCCGAGGCCCTCATCGTGCCCGCGCTCCTCCTCCTCTACCACCTTCTCGCCCACCTCCTCGTGCGTGTGCTGGTGCAGACCCCGCCCTTGAGAACCGTGTAGTGCTGGTCCGTGCTGTCCTTGATCGGGCTCCCTATGGGGCTCTCCTTCTTCCTCACCTAGGTCACGAAGTAGCCTACGTTGATGGGGCCCCTGAGGAGGGTCGTGCTCTTTGGGGTCCAGGCCGACCTTGTACTTCGGGGTCTTGCCGAGGCCCTCCTTTAGAATGACAGCAGAAGGGAGACTGGGTTCTCCTCGGCCTCTAGAGGGGCCATCCGCGACGTTACACTCGGACGGTATCCACCGAATACAAAAGGAGCTCCCAGACGCAAGAGACAGAGTCCCAATACGGCGCATGATCCCCAACCTGGTGTGGCTGTGGGCCCGCGCCCGAGAGGCCGCCGAGACAGACGCGAGAGCATCTCCCAGGACAAGCATCCTCTTCCCATGGTTCCGAACGGCCCGTGAAGCATGCCGAACATGGTACAGGACCGCCCGAACGGCGCATGATCCCCAACCTGGTGTGGCTGTGGGCCCGCATCCGAGAGGCCGCCGAGACAGACGCGAGAGCATCTCCCAGGACAAGCATCCTCTTCCCATGGTTCCGAACGGCCCGTGAAGCATGCCGAACATGGTACAGGACCGCCCGAGCTTCGAGAACAGGCATCCCCTCAAGGCGATCCCACTTACGACGTCCCGTGACACGCCACAACGACTTGTCCAGGTATTTCTTCGAGACCTCGGGGAAAGCGAGCAGGTCGCGCTCCACAGGCGGGCCGACGGGCTGGCTGTCCTCCGCCGGGCAGCCAGGATCGAGCTGGGCCGCTACGATCCCTAGGTCACAGGCTGCGACCCTGTCAGCGGCACATTCAGCGGCAAGGGCCCGGCGACGAGGAGGCAGGCGCTCAGCCCTGCCATAGCGCCACCGCTCGCTATGACGACCAACCTCCCGAACAGCGCCGGCATCCCAATCAGCCTCGCAGGCGCCCAACCCCCAAGGGGAGGCGTCAACGCAGCCGACGGAACACGACCACTGAGCACGGAGATCACGCCATAGCAAAGGAGCGACGCCATCCCAGGCCATGAGCTCCTGCCTGACCTGAGACCAGAGCGGCACCTGCTGGTGGTAGCACTTCTGGACAAAGCGGAAACTTGCCTCGAGGATGCTTAGCCCTCACGCCGAGCGAGAGTGACGAAGATGATGTGGCCCAGCACGCGCTCGAGATCACGACCACTGGCCCGGCCACGCCGCAGAAGACCACGCACCGCTAACCGCACCCTCCACAATCTCGAAGCAGACGCCGAGAGACGCCCAGCCGCAGTGATGGACCAACCCAGCACCGCATACTCGCCCTCGCTGTCACCGAGGTGCTCCTCCCTGGTCACCACCAGACCTCGGCGCTTGAGCTCCGTCATGACACGAGTCACAGCGGACCGAACCGCCTCCGCGTCGTAGCCGATGCTCACGAAGTTGTCGACGTACTCAAGGTGACACGATGGGTCCAAAAAGGGAGCAGGCCTGCCATCTCGAAGTCGTGCGTCATCACCGCAACCTGCTGCTTCTGCCACTCGCTCCATCACCGACTGACACCACCACATTGCCCAGGACCAACCCATGGGCACGACCCTGAGGCGCGGGTAGAGCTTGGTGGAGGCCCCGACAGCGACCCCGCCGACCTCCTTGATGCCCAGGACGCCAGCGCGCACAGGTCGCAGGCTGAAACACGGACGGAGCTGCTCGGGGAGCTCAAGGTGGTAGAAGGCGGCCTTCAGGTCGGCACCCTCCACTGTCAGGAGAGAGTCGTCCGCCGCCATCTCCAGCATACCGAAGGCGTCGCCCGTCGCGAGCCGCACGCCCAGGGGCTCGGTGAACACCTCGTTGGAGCGGCGGCAGTCCGCCACCATGCGAAGGCGGTCTCCTTTTTTTCACAAAGAAAATCTCAGCTCGAACGCCGTCCTCCAAGCTGAAGTCGACAAGGTGCCGCTCATACAGCAACTGAACAAAACTGGACCAGCGCCGCTGATCACGTAGAAGAGGGTCAGAGTAGGGAACAGGTATAGAGCTCTACCTCAGCCTGGCTTCGGCCTCGCTCGGATCCATCAAGCTCTGCAGAACGAACTGTTAGACCTTGGCTTGCCCGCCCTCCCCCCACACGTCGGCCAGCGGCACAGGGGCGGTACTGACCTCAGGCAAGGAGAGGAGCGCAGCTCCCGAGGGGCGACTGCTCGACATTGTAGGCACCCCCGGCCACGCGAAGCTGCACCAGCGCTTCTGCGGGAGAAAGAGTCGACGGCGGCGGGCCAAGGTTGCGCACCGACTCGGAGATGTGGGCCAAGCACTGGCTCTGGGCGAGTGACGGCCCAACGTATCGTGCAGAACGGTCACGACCACAACGGAGGGACGGGTCATGAAGCCAATTAAGAGCGTCCACGCATCCATAGACATCGTTGCAGACACCAAGCCTTCGCCCAATCCTTTGCCTCGTACCTCTGGCGAGCTCCTTGACCGAAGCCTTATCCAGCGGCTCCTTGAACGAGCGGTAGGGCAGTGGCAAGATGTCCCGGGGCCGACGCCTGCCAATGTCGTGGACGTCCTGAGGGAAGAAGGGCCCACTCGGGTCGCCCATGTGGAGGGGCCTAGTACTCGTGCTGGCCCCCCCTCCGAAGCCAGCACGGTTCTGATGCTCAGCCATTTTTGCGCCTGGACTCCCGCTCCTCGCGGGCCAGGCGCAAACTCTTGTGTAGCTTCGCTTCCTTCTCAACGTCACCGCGGACATGATCGATCAACTCTGGAGATACCATCACCGACGAAGTCGAGCGTGAGACCCCAGAAAAAGCGGCCTACTCCTCCAGACTCATCTTGCCACCAACGCCTTTGCTCTCGGCGTCTTTGGCCTTGTCCCAGTGGGCGAACTCGATGGTCTGGAGCCTCCTAAACTTCATCTCAATGCTGATCAAGTTCGTCCCGTCTAGGAGGTCCTGGCAGGTTGCCGCCTTGATCTGCTGGCACAGCTGGTAGTGTTCCTGAACTCCCCAATCCGTGGCGGCGAGCCTGCAGATCTGCCTGAAGTGCTCGTGATGGCCCTCTATGCCGAGGCCCTCCCGCTGCAGGTAGTTCATGCACCGCGCCGCCGTCCTCGGGCCCGGCAGCGTCCAGTCCGAGCCGAAGTCCTCCTGGCGGGTCATCTCTACCATCTTGTGCCACGGGACGTCGCGGCGACCCTGCCCATCTCGAACAATGGGCAAGATCCTGGCGTCCGCATCTACAGCCTTACGCAAGAAGGTCTCGAGGGCGGCTGGCGGCACCAACTCCACGAACAGGCCCTGGCCGTCTGGCAGCACATGAATGTCCCGATCCTGGACTCGAGCTGCAGTGGGCACGTGCCCGGGCACCTCATCGCCAATCCGATATCCGCCCTCGCAAGCGGCCGCCCTCCACACCCCAGCGGGGTCACCTCCAGGCGCACCAGCGGGGAGCGCGGCAGCGCCGCGCAGCAAGCCCAGCGCAGGACCCGCGGGCGCGACAGGGGCCACCACTCCTCCTCCTCCAGGCGCGACCAGCGGCCGCAGGTTGGTGAGCAGGCCGAGGTTGCCGATGGCGGCAGCTCTGGTGCGGCACTCCGCGGTGGCGATCTGCTCCGCCCCCAAGGTGAGCTGGGCCAGCTCCGCATCCGTCGGCTCGGCTCTGAACCCATGCACCTGGTTGCCCGCGATCCCTGGAGGCGGCGGGTTGAAGGCACCGAACCGCGCCGCCTGCACATCAGCATTGTTGGCCAACGCGACGATGTAGAGATCGCCGTCCGCCGTGTAGATGACGTGGTCAGCCTCGGACAATGCCACCCGCCCCAGATTCAAGTGCTGGTGCCACGCCACCTCGCCTGCGTAGAAGACGCACACCCAGCGAGTCGTCGCCACCGCCGCCATCGCTGATGCAGCCAGCAGGATGCCGAACACGCGGACGAGCGTCCCTCCGCACCACGACACAGCAGCAGCCGACGCACGCGGCGGCGAGCAGGAAGCCCAGCGCGCCGCCCACCAGGCCCGCGGCCAGGGAGCGCAGGTCGACGGCGACGTCGCTCGCCAGCACGGCCGCCGCCGAAGGCGCCGCCGCCTCCGGCCCCGAGGGCGCGGGCGCGGCCTCTGGCGCGGGGCAGGCCCCACACGCCGGGCACGCCGGCGTTGGGCAGGGCGGCGGCGAGGGGCACACCGCCGGGGCGACCTCCGCGAACGGCGGGATCGCTGGGCACTGCAGCGAGCACCCTGGGCAAGGAGCTGGCGACCCGCACGCCAACGAGCACGCGGGACAGGCGGGACAAGATGGCACCTGCGGGCACCTCGTGAGATAGGAAACCACCCCTGTGACGGCGTGGTTCGTGAGCCTCTCCCACATCCCTCAAGACTTGAGCAACCAGAACGGCGGCGGCCCACAAGATACATCGGAAGAATCAGTTGGTCTCTTCCAACCCCCCCGCTTTCTGTTCAACTGACGCAGGCTTCGCCACGCCTGCCGAACAAGGACGGCAAGAAAGAAGACCATTTATGAAATTAGGTTTATCATTCCTCCAGCACTGACGGCTGAGCCGCCAGTGTGGAGCCATCGTCGCGTGACTGGATGACCTGGGGTGGTCTTGGCGAACCAGCATTCCTTTCCGCGCGAGCATTTTCTCGTTTCCTTGTAGGAGCGGCAGACCATGTCTTTGCCTTTGCCACTGCCTTTGTTTTTCTCTCCATCCTTTTTACGTTTGTCGGAGTTCGCACTAGAGGCTCTGGAGCCACTATTGCTTCCCGTCGAAGAGATATTGGCAGCGGCGGCATTGGCTTGTTTGGCTGTACGCTCATATCCCAAAGATTGTCCCGCGCCAAGTTTCGCTTGTTCCCACTTGTCACGCTTCGACTTCTCAGCATCGGATAGCCCTCTATGGGCTTTGTTGCATCCGTCTTCTGGTCCTCGACAATTCTTGGGATCTCGGGAGAATGCGTAACACGGTATGGTACTGTCTCTCCCACGCGATTGGCTTCTATTATTATGCTGTCCTCCTTTCCCACGGTTGCCAGTCGGGGTCTGGGATCGGCCCTGCCCCTTTCGGCCCCTGTCCTTCGATCTCCCTCTAGAGTTCTTATCCTGGGCAGGAGCGGTACTGGATTTTCTTACCGCGCTCGGCTGAGCCGGCGCGGCATTCTTGGGCTTCTTATGATTGAAGGGACAGCCTTTTCCTGCGTATGGGCAAGTTTCGCCCTTGTGCACGTATCTGCACGTGGTCTCGCCCTTAGTCTTTCCCCTTTTCATGGCATCTGAGGGATTCCCCAATTTAGCAGCAATCTCCGCCGGGGCGGCTTTGCTGCCTGCATTCTTCCGGTTGTCATTGCAGCCGCCTCCGCTGAATCGTGCTTGCCTAGCACGCTGATTCAAGGTGCCCTCATGCACGCTGATGTTCCACTCTTCTTTTTCTCGCAACATCTTTCCTTCAATCTGCTCCATCAGCCATTCATAACTCTTCGCGCCATGTCCCATTTTATCTTTTGACAAGTCGTATAACTGGCATACAAAGTTCAGTTTGCACGGCTTTCTGCATGAAAATGTGCATGAATCGAGGCCCTCATTTCATCGGACGGAGGCTTAGCGCCATAAAGCTGTTGATGCACATATGTCCATGCATTGTAGAAATGATACAGGTCAGCATCAGGCTTGCGTGGGTCAATGGTTACCTTGAAGAGGTCACGCGAAATGCGATGTTGTCCCAACTCCGATCTTACCGAACGCCAATGGCAAATGACTCGCACCATCTCGCGCCCAGTCATGAGTCTCCCCTCGTTCTGGGCGCTGAATTCCATACGAGTAATCTGTTGGAGGAAATGAATATGATGACCAGGCTGATATCGATTATTTCGCATCTTGTTGAATTTCTCGATGAGATTCGTTGCGATCATGAGGTCGAGACGCTGGAATCGCCCTGCATCTTTGAGTTGCTCATCCTCCACAGCTGGATTCATAGCATCAGCAATCCAGTGCTGTGCAGCCTGGCTCTCGGGCGATGATCCAGCGATTGCGCGTGCTGAATGCATTTGCCACTCACGAATGTTCGTTATTTCTGGTTGTTACCAACCTGTCTTCATTGATCCAACGGCGTGCTTTCGTCAATTACTACCGAGTCGTGCGGCCCGCCGGGGCCCTTAGGCCCCCTGCGTCCACCTCCACCAGCAGAGGGATCTGAACCCCCTGGGCTTCCCGGAGGCGACCCACGTGGTCTTTTACCACGATCATCTTCATGTGAAGATACGATCTCAGGTGTTAGGAGCGTCGCTCTTGCCGTCTCCTTCTCCGCCCTGCCCTGCTTCGCCCGACGACTTAGTCGCCGTCGTTCCCGCAGGACCATCTCCATAGGATGGGCGGTAACTGGCGAGAGTATTACCTTCGTTAGGTCCAGTTAGCATGATCCCAACAAGAAGTCCACTCTCGGCGGTGCTCGGCTTCGCCGGACCTTCTAGGGCAGGGCCTGGAACAATAAAGTGCTGACGCAACAACGGCCTCACGGGAGTTTCTCGCGAAAGCAACGGAAAGCCGGGTGAATTTGATGTGAGTCCGGCTTCTCGTTTATTCTCGGTGTATGGAGTCGGGTCGGGGATGATAGCCTTAAGCCTCATCTTTCTTTTCTCTGCATTAGCTGCGTTCGAAATAGCCTCTTCTTCTCGCATGCTGGCAGCTGATCTTTCACTCTTCCACAAGTCGCATCTAGAGCATCTTCTAATGCTTGCATGGATATGTTCTTCACATGCCGACGTACCACATCCGACGCAATTGTCCGTCTTGAGACGAAAGCAGACTGCGCAGAATTGGTCCACGGAGAATGTATTTCCTCTCTCCTCGGGAGGAAGATGTGTTACACCTCCCATCAGCAGGGTCGACGCTCCCGCATTTGTCAGCGTCGTCTGATCAGATTGCGTTGGAACGGGTACTATGCCGGACGACTGAGCCGTCGACAATTGGTGTACATGTGTTCCAGTCGGCTTAGCCGGCGGGCGCTTGGCATTACTCGTTTTTATGCGCTGGAGGGAAGATCTAGCTTCTTCATCCGATTTGAGTTCTTCCAGATAGAGATTGTTTTGGTCGGTTATCTTCGCAGCTACGGCTTGGGTGTTAGCTGCTTCCAGCCGGGCGTTTTTGAGCTCTTCTTGTAAGCTCTGTTTTCTCGTTCCTCCATGACTGTAGCGATTTGTTCTCCTTCTATCCTGGCCGCCGCAACAGCAGCGGCAACCACATTGGCGTCGACAGATTCCTTGTTCGCCATCGCGACGGCCTGTCTCTCCGAAGTCAATAATTCTCTGTATTTATTTTCGGCTTCCAGCTCCACTTGCCGTTTAACGGCCTCGGTCTGATTATATATATATGTTCTATCGGCGCCTGTTCCCGCTCTCTAGCAGCCATGGCTAGGGTGATCCGTTCAGCCTCGAACGTTTTTCTCGCTTCGACCACAGTTTCAGCGCATTCTTCTCTGTCCAATCGGGCCCTTTCGGCCAGCTGCGCTTCATTGGTCAGAAAATCTCTCTGAGTGTTAGCCTCCGCCAGCCAGGCCTGGCCCTGAATAGATTGTATGAGGAGATGCGTGCAGTTATGCTCGTCCATTGGGTAACACTCTGCGCACAGCCACTGCGCGTTACACTTATGGCAAACGTCCGAGCAACTCTTGCACTGGATTCCTACATGCGCCTTCTGGCCTGTTGACTTTCCCTGGGCATCTGCTCTCCGCCTGAGGCGCGCAGTTAGGGTTGGGGTCCCAACGGGCCTCCATCATGGAGACGGTGCTGTTGCTCCGTGAAGTGGATCTCGCCCCTGATCTTGGCATCTTGGGTCTTCCCCTCCTTGAAGCATTTGATCTGGGGCGAACGACAGTATTTTCTGGCGGTTTAGGCTCATTAAAAAAACTCCTCATCCTTTTCGTCTTGTGTTATTAGCTGGGCATACGTAGCTGGTTGCCCGACCGTTTCTTCATCCTCAACAACAGCTGGAATCGAGGGTTGCCAGTCACCTGAGGCGGCGGCATCACGGAAGAAACCTTCTTTCAGTGGTGAAGCGTTTAGCTCGTAGTCCTCATTCCGTTGTTCCTTGAGGTGAGGCGCAGGGGCTCGTCCTGTGGACTCCCTCTCATGCTTCGTCTGGGCCTCTGCCCTGTCCGCCTGAGGCGTCAGGAGACCATCTTTCGTCTTGAGCAGGGATGTCTTCTTCCATCATCACGGACAATGCTCGGCTCAGGGAAATATCATTATTGATGCTATCAAAATCTCCCCCCGTAGAATATATTTCGATCTTCTTCAACTGGGCCATCACTGTCCTGACCGAATTGTCCGTTAAGTGCTATCGGGATTGGGACATTGGCACTTGTACCCGCCCATTCGGTCGGGATGCTAGGGTACGTATTCATTTTCCCCTGGACTTCCCCTGGCCGGCCGGCTTCACCAGCGGCAGTAGCAATCGCATGTGGAGTGTTCGGAATTGAGCTGATTGACTCCGTCGATTTGGCACTCCATGACGAAAACGCACTTCGTCTAGGTCTTGATGTTACGCCATCTCGCCCGTGCGGGTCTGGGGTTTGCTCGCGATCACTGATTGGAGCTCCCGCGGGAGAGACGTCTACCGACATCTCTGTTACTCCCTCGGTACCTCTGCCCCTTACTACCCGAGTGGCGATGTATGAAGGAGGGACTTGGTCCTGAATTGGACCGTCCTTGTTTGTGTCGTGTCCGTCATGTTGTACAACGCGCCTATCGGCACTTCTCGAGATATTGGACACGATGTCGGTCTTATCATAGCTCGTTCCCGCAGCGACTGAGTCGCGGGGCACATTTGAATGTTCTTCTTCTGTATGTGACGGCCCCGCGTCGACTGAGTCGCGCGTTTCGGCTGATAACCAGACTTTCCTCTGGGAATC